CTGCAACCCCTCAGGCCTCCCCACACCTGCAGCAGACACTACATTGATGTCTGCAACCCCTCAGGCCTCCCCACACAAGCAGCAAACACTACATTAATGTCTGCAACCCCTCAGGCCTCCCCACACCAGCAGCAAACACTCCATTGTCGTTTGCAACCCCTCAGGCCTCCCCACACCTGCAGCAGACACTACACTGATGTCTGCAACCCCTCAGGCCTCCCCACACCTGCAGCAGACACTCCATTGCCGTTTGCCTCCCCTCAATCAAAAGCTGCCAGCGTTTCGATTAATCCAAAGTCCCTAATCAAATAAAACTGGAAGATGAGACAACAAACGAGCAAAGCAATGGACAGTAAACTTCAGATTGCGTTATATCGACGGAACAATATAAGAAACAGATGATGATGTAAGATATAAACTTTCAAAGCAAATTCATCAACTTTCACATAACAAAACCTGGCACAAAGGTGAATGAACGATTAAATGCACCCACAGCGGATGACAAACTCGGGGCAAACACCAATAGGTACTCACTTGATCACTCAAACATTGGCTGCTTGAAAGAGAAGAATAAAAGTTTGCGTGAATTTAGACTGTCAAGAACAGAAACTTTCATAACGCAGCTGAGACTTTCTAGCAATAATGAATAATTCTATTTTTTTCCAAGTCAAAAAAACTTTTGGCGGACATTAGTATATAATTTAGAATCAGGGAGCATGATAATAATTGATGAAGTTGATATTAATCAACTGACCACAGCTCCGTGGTCAGTCCTATTATTACGAATATTATTATTCATATTCGTATTCAAATATTATTATTCATATTCGTATTCAAATATTATTATTCATATTCGTATTCTAATATTATTATTCAGAATATTATGACGAATATTCCTACACTATATAGAAGACTTGGGGATTTCCCATTAATTTGGAATGGAAGCTGAGGAACAATTTGACTGGATAATTAGAATAATTATGATATAGATAGAATAAATAGGATAGATGAATGCAAGATGGATTGAGAAGCTGGACACAATCAATAAGTTATATGGCTGATAAAAGATATTCTCTCAATTATATCATTTTGTGAATATATTCAATTTGATAGAAATACAGGTAAGTAAAAATTGTTATTAATATCTAAAATTAAGATTTAATATTTTATTTGATCTCTTTTGGGCATTTGCTCATCTGTGAAATTTTTTTGAAATTTATTAAGCTTTTATTTTCTGATAATCGCCTGTTCTAAATGCATCTGTGAACATTTCTGGCAACAAAACATGATAAAAATAAGTACATTGCATGAGGAAGAAGAAGATGTGTAGAGTATCAGCTTATGGGCAATTTTGTTCAGCAATATTGAAACAAATCTTAGTTCACCCATACTCAGTGAACATGTCTACTATGAAAATCACTTCATTTGCCCAAATAAACAAATACTTTATTAAGGCGTTCAGCAGCCAAAGCAATTAAAAATTAGGGAAGATAAATAACTCAGTCATACACTCAAGATTCCACAACTGGCAGGCACAGCATTTGTTTATTCTAAACCATATTCCAACAATTTGTCCATATCCCATGACGTCGCATGCAGAGCTGGGCAGCGCTACTTTGAAATGTAGCTACCGCTACCACTACAATTGCTTAAATGTAGCGCCGCTACCGCTACAATGGCCTAAATGTAGCACCACTACCGTTACCGCTACTGAAAATGTAGCGGCCGCTACATGTAGTGCACTACTACCCACCTCTGGTCGCACAACTCACCCGCATCCAAATTCGGTGTTGACAATTTTCTTTGTAGTGAGGGCAGGTTTCTTGCCCCCCAGAGTGTGCCGGATACCCTGAGGGTGCGGTGATGACACGACAGCTGCAGGCAGGCTTGAGTTGAGGTTGTGGCCATACGGAGTGGCAGCAGGAGACGGGGCGCCTCCTGACTGAGGGCCAGTCATAGCTGCGCCCACCTTCGGTGAGGGTGGATGATGATGCATCAAAGATGATGCATCATCATCATCATCATTTGATAGGATCAAATTTGATAGGATGCATCAAAAATGATGCCGCCTAATTTTGATAGCAGCAACTAACATAACCTGCTTTTTCAAAGTACTAACTAGAATCACCATACCATCCGATAGTAGCAACTAGCATAACCTTCTATTAGATAGCACTAACTAGCATAACCTTCTATTAGATAGCACTAACTAGCATAATCTGCTATTAGATAGCACTAACTAGCATAACCTGCTATTAGATAGCACTAACTAGCATAATCTGCTATTAGATAGCACTAACTAGCATAACCTGCTATTAGATAGCACTAACTAGCATAATCTGCTATTAGATAGCACTAACTAGCATAACCTGCTATTAGATGGCACTAACTAGCGTAGTCTGCTTTCAGATAGTGCCAACTAGCAAAACCTGCTGTTAATTCTATTAATTAGTGAAGATTATCATGAAAAGTATTTTGAATAATTTTGAATTTCATCATTGCTCAAGATATGGTTGATGATTCACTAGTTAAAAGGCAAGAGGTGGTCATTCAGGAGGCAAAAAGTTATCTGAATTTGAAGCTGTTGAAGTAAAACATATTTCAAACAATTAAAACAGAGGTGAGAGCATTTTAATGCAATAATAAGTAGAGTTTATGAATGAAATAAGAAGTAAGAATTGGTAGGTAAGTTTGGAGATTAATTAGACAAATGATTATGAGCAATTAATAAGAGATAGTAAGACTTGACTTGAACCTATCTTCAGACATGTTCAACATGCGTTTCAGATTAACAAAAATAAAGTAGTTGCTATCAAATTTACAGCCATTGGTAAGGTGGTGGACATCCTCCTGCACAAAATCTCACTGCCCAGAGGTATTTTCCGTTATGGTATCTGCCAATTTGAGAGCGGCGCTCCAACATATGCTTTATTTGACAACACCCATAGAAATTATTACGCATAACTGGAACATTTCATTGATAGTTCCAATCTTTTGAATGAAGTTGAGAGGTCAATATAGATTGACAGTCCTCTGAAATAGAGAAGAGTCATGTACTGGGGCCATACTTTCAAAACTCGCTAAGTGAACGTAAGTACTTACGCTCTATTTTCTTGTCTATGATTGGTGGATTTTGCTTGAAAGGCCATCAGTGATTGGCTGATGAACTTACGATCTCTTAACTTTTTTTGAAAGTATAGGCCCTGGTACGGTACTTGCACATCCCCCATCACAGGCTACAAATAAAGATGATTGTTGGCAAGTTTTTAATGTTGATTTCCCTTAAGGCAAACCAAGGACTAATGGAACCAGATTTAAATTAATGTTATCAATGTGTGTACCTAAAAAAATTTTATTTGAATATTCTAGATATCAGCAAGCATCAAAAGTAGATCAGCTTTGATGTCTATCAACTTACAGCTGATAGGCATAATAATAATAATTATAATAATCAGCTTTGATGACTATCAACTTACAGTTGATGGGCATAATAATAATAATTATAATAATCAGCTTTAATGCCTATCAACTTACAGCTGATAGGCATGATAATAATAATTATAATAATCAGCTTTAATGCCTATCAACTTACAGTTGGTGAAGGAACTTGTCTTGATGAACTCAGTAGATGCTCAGGAGGTTTAGGCAGAGCAGCAGCTGGAATATCAATGATATTGTCAACTAATATTACCAGTACGTAAACTACTTGTCATCAACACAACCCATTACACTTCAAATTGATCTTATTTCTCAAGTATTTACTTTACAATTAAAACAAACAATTTAACAGAAGCCTTCAGAAGTACAGACTTCATAACAATTAAAGAAATTCAAAGCACCTAAGACAACCACCCGGCCATATTATATATGCATGTGCAAAACTGCCAAGTGTTGATAAAGACCTTCAACAATTTACTGATTATCATAGTACGTAAGTCATCAAACGGACAAAGAAAATTAGCACATTCAATCAATAGTAGAAAATAATTCCCATTGTCTTGTCAAACTCATCAGGGACTTTTAAAGGTAGAAAAACATTCTGTTTATAAAAGAACTCAATTCCCTAAAAATTAATAAGGACTAGGTATCCACAATTGGCATGCATCCCACAGAACTAACCTTAATAACAGAACTAACCCTTAATAATAAATTTTTATTTTAAATTTTTTGCTCCGTCCATTACTTGTAAATTTAGGTTTTTAATTTTGTTCTGTGCTTTCTATGTATTAATTTGTGACTTCTGATTTGTGATTCTAGATTCTACGAACTGACGATGGAGCTGGTCTCCGAAACGTTTTCTATAAAGATATGAATTTTTGTGGACTTTTCTTTGCTTTTAAATTCTTAGAACTAACCTTGTCCAAACCTACAAATTGATGATAAACTTAGAATTGACTACATTATTAATAATGTATTCAATTCCATGGGGAAAACTTGCATGAGATAACTCCTGCTTTTGAGAATGCTTCACCATGCTGATCACAACAAAATATACCTTTCGATATTTTTAATGAAAATTAAAAACACTGGTGACATGTGTGAAATACTTGAGAGAATTTTTTAGAGGAGAAGCTCAGATAAAAAGGTACATTCTTCTTGAATGTAACCCATATTAAATAAATCTCTACAAATCTCAAAATTAGAATTTACATATGAAATGGATGATTTTGGAATTGAAAATTATCATTTTTTATTTTAAATTTCAGGAAACAATAAAAAACATACACTTTCATCAAGATAACATAATAGCTAATTAATAGGTACATAAACAATCTACTCCAGTTTAATGTGAACTCAGGTTGAAAATATTTTCATCTGCTTCACACTAATACTACCTAGTATTGTCAATTCAAATTATTATTCATCACAAAGAATCCAACAGTGAATTTAAAAGAAAAGTAAATGCCACAAGAATTCTTTATAGACAACGTTTCTGAATACAGGTTTATTTCCAGTTCAGAAATTCTAGAATGTAAGTACCATCACTGAGCACAATCAAAATCAATGAGCATAATAAAAATTAATAGCACAGATATTAAAACCTGATTTGACAAACTAAAACATATGGCATTACAGAAAAATTATCTCATCAATTTAACCTATTGAACATATCCAGAGTATTAAAAATTAATGACCTTAAATTAGGCTTACCGACCGGTACTTTAGAAAATATACAGGGATTCTAAAATTTGATTGTAAGAAGAGATTGCCCTACATAGTGTGAAATGCCAAGTGAGAAAGATGTGCCAGTAGATTTTGGTGCAGCAACTACCCTTGGCGCCAAAGATTCCTCCAAAGTTAATTATGTATCTATCATACCAATATAGGCTGATGACCATTGCATGCAACTGTTTTTAAAAACTGGATACAATCACATGAATAAAACATAAGATAGGTAGGTACATTGAATTTTTTAGGAATTACCTTTGATTTTAAAATTTTATTTATTAATTATACCAGGAAATAAAAAATCTAATTCTTGCATTAAAGCCACTAGAAAAACCAGTTATGCCCAATATTTAAACAAATTTGCATGTGTAATCTTTGACAATCTCAAATACAAGAGCAATTCTCAAGTCCGAGCAGAGCACCAGCAGAGCACCAGCAGAGCACCTCAAGTCAGGGCAGAGCACCAGCAGAGCACCAACAGAGCACCAGCAGAGAACCAGCAGAGCACCAGCAGAGCAACTCAAGTCAGAGCAGAGCACCAGCAGAGCACCAGCAGAGCACCTCAAGTCCGAGCAGAGCACCAGCAGAGCACCAGCAGAGCACCTCAAGTCAGGGCAGAGCACCAGCAGAGCACCAACAGAGCACCAGCAGAGCACCAGCAGAGCACCTCAAGTCAGAGCAGAGCACCAGCAGAGCACCAGCAGCCCTACCTCCAGCTTGAGTGCTGTTGGTGTGCAGGTGCTGCAGAGATCGTAGCTGGGCTGTGCTGCTGGACGTTACATCTTTCGGCAGCTCTGCAGTCAGGGACTGCTCACCTTTCAGTGCAAGGCCGTGGTATTTGCTTGGAACTGCAAAAACCACAACAAAATTTCTATAAAAATATTTTGGAGTAAATAATTTGAACAATTTTATCAAAAAATGTAGGATGAGTTCACTGAAACTGGCATTTTTTATCCATCAACCAAGAAAAGAGACACTTAGGTAAAATAAATTTTTTTAGGTTAGGTTCTTTAACATAAATAGCTAAAAAAATAAGCCAATAAAGCAGTTGATTGGAGTAGCATCAAGTTGCTCACTGAATGGAAGCAAGACTCTCATGGCCTGGTAGTGATGCATTTTGTAGAGTAGAGAGTAGAGGCTTGCCACTGTGTTGTTCTGGTGCCCCCACGCCTGCAGGAGTCGGTCACAAGGACTCTCACCGCATTTCTCCACGCGACGCATTTCATATAACTCATGTACTTTGAAGTTCATGAACTGACCTCCTGCCATGGTCAAACAATGGCAAGATCATCACAATAAAAAATAGGAAGTTTTCCCATAAATTGAGATCTTGTACAGTATTAAAAACTTTTTTATCCAATGAACATGAATTAAAATGAAAGGTCAATTTCAGCTCTCAAGTCCTATTACATCCCATTCATTCATCCGATTGCATTTATGGATTGCATTTACAGATTGCATCCTATTGCATTTTTGAGCATGGATGCGCAGCTTGAATCAGATATTGCACTTTTAAGCTCGCTATAATCTCAATCTCAGGTGCACCTGACAAAATTTAACCCTTTTGCAGGAAAGTACCTATATAAATAAGCAAAAAAAAGAATTCCTGGAGCCACTACAAGAAAGTATGGACAAAAGATAAATTTACTCATACATATTTTTCAAAATTTTGCATGAAAATGAAGAAAACATAAGTTGAAAATTCTATAAAAAGCAGTCATATTAGGCAAATGGATGTCAACAACTAATATATACATTGGCATGATGAGCAGCAGGCATGCAAAGAATCAGCTTTAGAATCTCACCTAATCTCTCCCATTGGCTGTCCATGTCCAGGATGCTGCACAGCATTTTACGCTCAGTATAAGGAAGTTCATAGACATACTTCACAGAACTCTGCTGGTTACCTGTGGTCCTGCCAGCCATTGTTAATCCATAACAACCTTGGAAGATAATTAGGTCAATCACATAGAGCAAAAATTAAAAATTTTAGATTATGATCAATGGGAACGGTTTTCATATTCATAAAGCAGAATTATAAATAAAGAAAATAAGGTTGTTTCTATCGCCAAGACTTGTAAACTGTACTACAACATTTCTACAAAATGTGGGATGACTGTCCCAATTTACCCCACCCATCCATTATTACCCCATTTGATGGTACCCATAAAATTTGGGCTCATTCCTTTTAGCCAGGTTTTTGCGTAAACATACAATTCCCGTTTTTTGGTGTAAATATAGATCTTCAACTCAGATACTTTGCCTCTCAGACTATTGCAGTTTAACTGATATATCTCAAATTGGAACTCCAGTTGGACTTGTTGAATCACCCAGCTCTCTAGTTCAGATTCAGTGCTTTTTTGCCACTTGAAACTACAAAAGTTTTTAGGCTGTGATGCGTTTTCTATGCCAGTTCCAGCAAAAATATCATCATTGAGCACATTTTGTATTTGTTCATTGATTTCCCTATTTTTTGGTAGCATAAGTCTAGGTTGCACACTGCTTTCTAGTGTCTTGCTTTGGTTTTGCTGGTGCTGGAACTATGTCCTCTTCATCTTCTGGTGTGTCAGAGCCTAATTCTGACAACTGACATTTTGCAGGTAATTTGCTTGAATTTCAATGCAAGAGCTTTTACTGCTATAGATAGTGCAATTAGACATTCATTTTACATTATGGTACCTTGGTAATTCAGGTTTTGGGAACGTAGAACATAAATTAGAGGAACGGCTCACAGAGGAGCAGACAACCTCCCACATTGACAAATTACTTTTTAAAAACAACACTTCTAATGAGACTAGCATTTCCAATATTACACATGTACAATGAATTTCTTATTTTATTTTAAATACCGTATAAGGGGGTTACTTAGACTCCTGGGGTAACTTAGACCACTTTTAGATTTTTTAACAAAAACCCCCAAAACTCAAACTATTTGACATAGAAAAATTTTGTCAATGGGCATTAAAGGCCTAATACTGAGGCTACGTAACACAATAGAAAGATAAAAAAATTATGCATATCTAATAGGTTAAAAAATGAAAAATGAGACCCACGAAAAAGAACTATTATTTAAAGCCTGTCATAAACCCCCTCCAATTTCTTTATTTTTTGGTAAAATAACTCCAGGTTTTGGTGCATTGTAGTAAAACTCTTCTAGTTACATATGCAAATGACAAATTTGAGGAAAGTGTCATAGTTTGCAAATGGGGGGCACTGCCCCTGAATGGGGGAACTTAGACCACCTAATGTCAGCCCTGATGTGGTACGTAACATAGACAGGCTTGGAAATTAATTTAAAATTACCATATATAACATATTTTGTGTTTGATACGGTACACCTATTAATGCTTTTTCTTCATGTTTCAGACTCTACAGAGTCTTATAAATTGTAATTTTAACTTAATTTTCAAGCTGGTCAATATTACCCCATCACGGCTGACATTAGGTGGTCTAAGTTCCCTCATTCGGGGGCAGCACCCCCCCATTTGCAAACTATGACACTTTCCTCAAATTTGTCATTTGCATATGTAACTAGAAGAGTTCTACTACAATGCACCAAAACCTGGAGATATTTGGAATTATTTTATCAAAAATATAATTGATTTTACCACCCAGTCTAAGATACCACAGGAGCTGGGGTAACAAAGTCCATCACTTTTTTGAAAAAACATCAAAACTATGAGAAGCAGGAGCCAGCAATTTATAGTAAGTGAACCTAGAGTATAGACCAGTATTTTACATGTTTCAATTCAAGTTTGATTTAGCTAGTAAAAAAAGACATCATTTAAAAAAAAGTAGTCTAAGTTACCCCCTTTCACGGTATTAGAGAAATTAATTTCTAAACCTTCTTACACATAATTTAGTTTTTTACATAATTTAGTTGTTAATTGTCTCCTCGTTGGTTTTAATTTGACAAGCTCATGCGTGTACAAGTGGTAAAAAGTAGCATTTAGTTTGCTAGGTAAATAATATCAAAGAGGGAAAAAACATCTTTCATTTTATTAGGTCAAGATTGGCTTTGATTCAACAAACAAATGCATGGAAAATTTGCAATGAAAATTAGTCTCTAAATTTGGACTAATTAAAATTTAGACTAATTAAAATTGGTCTCTAAATTAGTAGATTCGGTCAATTAAAATTTACCAGAATTTTCACTAGGTACCTCGGGTTTCAAAGTTCTTCAAACAAGCCCCGAAGTCATTGCTATAATGGTGCTAATAAAATTTGTAAGAAAGAAAAATTAGAAAATTACAAACAAATAAAAATTAGGAAGGAAAAAATCAGTTGAGCTGATTTATGATTTTTTATTATAACTAACAATGAGCTATTAAGGTCATGTCATAATGACAATATGAGTATCTATATTTACAGATAATAGTTTACATATAATTGTCTGTTTCCGGACCTAATTGCACCCCCCCTCCCCCCGTACTCAGGGCATGATGGCAAACCAGAGCATTTTTTAGAATCAGTTCATTTCAATTGCCTCATTTACTCAAGATTTAAACCAATTTCTCAAGTATGATAATGCTGGTATCCATGATACTTTACTGGACACTGGTGACTGGTCTACTTATAGGACTAAAAAATTAACTTGAGTCTAATAACTCTCTGCTTTGTCACTATGAAGGGAGGAGCAGTCTGGCAGCAATCCATCACAGCCTGGCCTGGGGGTGGGGGCTGGGACTGCTAAATCCGAAGCAAATCCCAAGGATACCAAGATGTGCCTCCTAGAGACTTAGAGTGCTGGGCCTGGGGCTAAATGCCCCCAAGCCCAAGGTCTTCCTCAAATTCCACACTGACTCAGTCTGACTGCATGTGCCTTTGTCTGAAGGCAAAGACACACTTCTCTGAGTCTGAGTGCTCTCCTTCCGCTGCTTATGGCGCTTAGCGCAACATTGTCAAAGTCTAAATTATGATTCTCTCGAGTGCTGTACAGAAATTTCAGAGTGCTGTACATAGATTTCAGAAATGTTTACGCATTAATACAGTCTAATTGACTATGACATATGACAGGGCACAGGGGGTTTCTTAATAATTTGCATACATTTTTCTTAATAATATTGCATAATAAAATGGATCAGTTGATGGAAAATACAATACACTTATACACATACAAGAAACGCATGTCTAATGATCAAATTAAATAATAACAGCAAGACCATAAATTCAGAATATAACTAATAGTTGATTTGAGCTGGACCGCAGGCCTTATCCTACCTACTGCCACTTTTCATGGACATGATTCATGAATAGAAAAGAAGAGAGGAGGGGCGAGAAAGCCAGTCGGGTTCTTGAAAAGGAAATCAGACACTTGACTTATTTATTTCTTATTTACTCATACTCTCGTAATATACGAGTTAGTCAAAAATCAAGTTGATGAATGTGTGGGTATTCTAAGTATTGCGTTAATCACTGAGGAAAATTTTACGTTAATCTCAGAGGAACTTCAGTAATCACCGAGCACCATCGTGAGGTATTTACCGTAACAACGCCGCTGACTCTCTCCCGTATACAGACTGAGAACTTCTTTTTTTTTTTTTTTATTATTCTTATAGGAGAACACGCGCCCGTACCAGTGATACGCTCCATACACACGCGCCCGTACCAGTGATACGCTCCATACACATGCGCCCGTATCAGTGATACGCCCCACACATACGGGTATCAGTGATACGCTCCATACACAAGCGCCCGTACCGGTGATACACTTCACACACACGGGTATCACAGTGATACACTTCACACACACACGGGTATCAGTGATACACTTCACACACACGGGTATCAGTGATACACTTCACACACACGGGTATCAGTGATACACTTCACACACACGGGAATCAGTGTGTAGGGATCTTAGCTGAATATTCAGGAGTACTTAGGGAAACAGAGGGAGTATAAGAAGATAAGATAACCAATACGTGGAAGGTATAAGAATTAGGTTGAGGTGTTGACGATCGATCCTGTAGCATCGTACGAATTCAGGGTAGACTTGTCTTGGCATAACAGCAAGGAATAGTAAAAGGAATAGTAAAAAATTTTAATTGTAAAAGGAATAGTAAAAAATTTTAATAGTAAAAGGAATAGTAAAAAATTTTAATAGTAAAAGGAATTCAGACAACAGCAGAGGTATGCGTAATATCCTAGAGTTGTGGAGATATTCTACTGTCGCTATTGCATGTGTCAATATTGTATTTATTATCTACTTGCTGATACTGCTTGCTAGTAGGGAAATTATCCGACTGATAATCCGTAGGATATGATGATAGTTGGGAAATTATCCGACTGTACGGGGGGTCGATTTTGTTCATGTAGGGAGAAGTCCACAGGTTGGTTCGATCTCAAAGATATCAGACTGGGTGCTGATACTGATAGGGACCTATTCTTTCAAAAAAGTTAAGAGATCGTAAGTTCATCAGCCAATCATTGACAGCCACGCAAGCAAAATCCACCAATCATAGACAAGAAAATGGAGAGTAAGTACTTAGTTCACTTAGCGAGTTTTGAAAGTATGGCCCCAGGACTCTAATACGGTATTGTGATTGTGGCCATTGGAAATTATGCGTATGGTGTCCTGAAACTAAGTTCTGTGCTGAGCTGTAAGAATATGAATGAACGAACAGTGCTATGCTCTGAAACTATATATATGCTCTATAACCATGTTATATTTAACTTTAGTCAAATGTTCTTAATTTAAGTGTTCATTCTTCGTTTAATTAAAGTAATTGTGTTGATTGGGAGATATTTATTGTACCTCGACATGAAAGATCATTACACAGTGATACGCTCACACACTCGGGTAGGTTGCTACGTGTACTTAGGTCGCTACGTGTACTTAGGTCGCTACGTGTACTCAGGTCGATACGTGTACTTAGGTCGCTACGTGTACTTAGGTCGCTACGTGTACTTAGGTCGCTACGTGTACTTAGGTCGCTACGTGTACTTAGGTCGCTACGTGTACTTATGTCGCTACGTGTACTTAGACCGCTACGTGTACTTAGACCGCTACGTGTACTTAGACCACTACGTGTACTTAGATCGCTACGTGTACTTAGACCGCTACGTGTACTTAGACCGCTACGTGTACTTAGACCGCTACGTGTACTTAGACCTGTCTCTTATACACATCTAGATGTGTATAAGAGACAGGCTTATGACCCCTCCCTCTGCAGCGGCAACCTTCCCTGCAGCGACTCCTGCAGGAGGCGCTGCAGGGGGACTGCTAGTGTCGTCCACGGCACCACAGCTGTCATCACTGGCCGCCACTACTGTCACCTTGTTGACAGCACCAGCAGCACCTCCACCACTGCTGCTGTCACTGCCACTGCCACTACCAGCACCAGCAGGAGAAGGGGCGGTCGCTTTCACAGGTTCGCCTGACGCGGGCGTCGAGTTTGCCGCGGCATCAGCGAGCTGAGCTTCCATCTGCACGTGAGAGACGGCAATCATGGCGTGCCGCTGAGTTGTGATGATCCTGCCACTGAGTTAAGATGAAGGCCTGCCACTGAGTTCAGATGAAGGCCTGCCGCTGACTTCAGAAAAATGTTCACGGGTCGATGAGGCAATCGATTATCTAGGACCACCAACCTTCTCTCGGTACTCAGCATCGAAGCCCGCGGCAGCAGCGGGGGGCGTGGGCAGCGTTGCAGCCGACGCGTTCTCCTCGCACGACATCGCCTCCCCACACCTGCAGCAGACACTACATTGATGTCTGCAACCCCTCAGGCTCCCCACACCTGCAGCAGACACTACATTGATGGATGCAACCCCTCAGACCTCCCCACACCTGCAGCAGACACTACATTGATGTCTGCAACCCCTCAGGCCTCCCCACACCTGCAGCAGACACTACTTTGATGTCTGCAACCCCGCAGGCCTCCCCACACCAGCAGCAGACACTACGTTGATGTCTGCAACCCCTCAGGCCTCCCCACACCTGCAGCAAACGCTACATTGATGTTTGCCTCCCCTCAATCAAAAGCTGCCAGCGTTTCCCTCAATCCAAAGTCCCAAATCAAATAAAACTGGAAGATGAGACAACAAACGAGCAAAGCAATGGACAGTAAACTTCAGATAGCGTTATATCGACGGAACAATATAAGAAACAGATGACGATGTAAGATGTAAACTTTCAAAGCAAATTCATCGAATTTCACATAACAAAACCTGGCACAAAGGTGAATGAAGGATTAAATGCACTCACAGCAGACGACAAACTCGCGGTAAACACCAATACTCACTTGATCACTCAAACATTGGCTGCTTGAAAGAGAAGAACAAACTTTGCGTGAATTTAGACTGCCGTGAATAGAAACTTTCCTAAAGCAGCTGAGACTTTCTAGCAATAATGTATAATTCTATTTTTTCCAAGTCAAAAAAACTTTTGGCAGACATTGGTATATAATTTAGAATCAGGGAGCACGATAATAATAGTTGAAGTTGATAATATTCAACTGACCACAGCTTCGTGGTTAGTCCTATTATTACAAATATTCGACGAATATTATTATTCGTCTTTGTATTCAAATATTATTATTCAGAATATTATGACGAATATTCCTACATCAGCTGGAAGACTTGGGGATTTCCCATTAATTTGGAATGGAAGCTGAGGAACAGTTTGACTGGATAATTAGAATAATTATAGTATAGATAGAATAAATAGGATAGATGAATGCAAGATGGATTGAGAAGCTGGACACAATCAAAAAGTTATATGGCTGCCAGAAGGATGGGGGAGCGTGACACAATCAAGAGGTTATTTGGCTGATAAAAGATATTCTCTCCATTATATTATTTTGTGAATATATTATATTTGATAGAAATACAGGTAAGTAAAAATTGTTATTAATAGCTAAAATTAAGATTTAATATTTTATTTGATCTCTTTTGGGTGTTTACTCATCTGTGAATTTTTTTAAAATTTAATAAGCTTTTATTTTCTGGTAATCGCCAGTACTAAATGCATCTGTGAACATTTCCGGCAACAGAACATGATAAAAATACAGTGGGGGGAAATAAATATTCGTACACTTGAAAAATCGTATTTTAATGTATGTAAGTACACAAACTTACAGGAAAATTGATTTAAATTATGTATAGAGACGCATAGTATTCAAAAATACTATCAAAAGAAATTAAATCTCAATGCAACAAAAAACAATGCAACATGTTCACTTTTCGGGAGTTTTTTGTTGCATTGAGATTTAATTTCTTTTGATAGTATTTTTGAATACTATGCGTCTCTATACATAATTTTAATCACTTTTCCTGTTAAGTTTGTGTACTTACATACATTAAAATACGATTTTTCAAGTGTACGAATATTTATTTCCCCCCACTGTAAGTACATTGCATGAGGAATAAGTAGATGTGTAGAGTATCAGCTTATGGGCAAGTTTGTTCAGCAATACTGAAATAAATCTTAGTTCACCCATACTCAGTGAACATGTTTAGTATGAAAATCATTTCATTTGCCTTAATAAACAAATACTTTATTTTGGTGTTCAGCAGCCAAAGCAAGTAAAAATTAGGGAAGACAAATAACTCAGTCATACACTCAACAATCCACAACTGACAGGCACAGCTTTTGTTTCTTGAACACCATATTCTAACGATTTGTCCATATCCCATGATGTTTCATGCAGAGCTGGGCAGCGCTACTTTGAAATGTAGCGACCGCTACCGCTACATGCTCTAAATGTGGTGGGCGCTACCGCTACAATTGCTTGAATGTAGCGCCGCTCCCGCTACATGCTCTAAATGTGGTGGGCGCTACCGCTACTGCTACAATTACTTAAATGCAGCACCGCTACCGCTACATGCTCTAAATTACCGCTACAATCGCTTAAATGTAGCGCCGCTACCGCTACCGCTACATGCTCTAAATGTGACGGGCGCTACCGCTACCGCTACCGCTACCGCTACAATTGCTTAAATGTAGCGCCGCTACCGCTACTGAAAATGTAGCGGCCGCTACAAGTAGCGCGCTACTGCCCATCTTTGGTCGCACTACTCACCCACATCCAAATTCTGTGTTGACAATTTTCTTCGTAGTGAGGGCAGGTTTCTTGCCCCCCAGAGGGTGCCGGATGCCCTGAGGGTGCGGTGATGACACGACAGCTGCAGGCAGGCTTGAGTTGAGGTTGTGGCCGTACGGAGTGGCAGCAGGAGACGGGGCGCCTCCTGACTGAGGGCCAGTCATAGCTGCGCCCACCTCCAGTGAAGTAATTAGAGGATAATACATCATACCAGTGATAAAATATGCAACCTTATTTTTGGTATCAATTGCATCATTTATCAGTGATAAATGATGCAAACTTATTTTTAGTAAATGCAACTAAAATAACCTAACACATTGACATCTGCTTTTTGAAAATACCAACTAGCATTACCCTTACATCCAATAGTAGCAACTAGCTACTATCGGCTAACACCAACTAGCATATTCTGCTATTAGATAGCACCAACAAGCAAAACTTGCTATTTGTTCTAGTAATTAGTAAAGATTATCATGAAAAGTATTTTAAATAATTTTGAATTACATACTTAAAATCATTGCTCAATATATAGTTGATCATTCACTAGTTGAAAGGCAAGAGATGATCAAAAGAGAGCCAAAAAATTATCTTAATTTGAAACTGTTGAAGGAAAATATATTTCCAATAATTAAAACAGGTGAAAGCATTTCAATGCAATAATAAGATAAGAAATGGTGAGTTCATGTATTAAATAAAAGTTAGGAATTAGTTGGCAACTTAGGAGATTTATTTGACAAATAGATATTGAACAATAAACAAGAGATAGTGAGATTGAGCTTGAACCTGTCATTAGACGCGTTCAACATGTGTTCCAGACTAACAAAAATAAAGCAGTTGCTGTTAAATTTGCAACCATTGGTAAGGTGGTGGGAATCATGCATGCAATCTCACTGCCTAGAGGTACTTTCTGTTGTGATATACCATATGTGATATACCATACCATACCATATGTGATATACCATACCATATCATATGTGATATACCATATATCATTTCTGTTTTGATATGCCATACCATACCGCCACTCTCAAGATGAGAGTGGCGTTCCAAGATATGTTTTATTTGAAAACACCCAGAGTAATTATTACACATAACTGAAACATTTTATTGATAGTTTCAATCTTTTTAATGAGGCCAAACAGTCAATATGATCAGGTATGCCAGTTAAAATGACAGTCCTCAGAAATAGAGATGTGTCAAGTATTGCTGTGCATCAGGATGGTCGTGGGCAAGCTATTAATGCCGGTTTCCCTTAAGACTACCCAAGGACAAATATAACAATATTAAAATAAATTATTTCAATGTACCATAAGTACTTAAAAATGTATCATTTGAATATTCTAGCAACCAGAAAGCATCAGAAGTATAGATCAGCTTTGATGTCTATCAACTTACAGTTGGTGAAGGAGCTTGTCTTGAAGAACTCAGTAGATGTTCAGGAGGTTTAGGCAGGGCAGCAGCTGGAATGATCAAAGATATCAACACCTAATATTACCAGTACCTGAACTACCTACTTGTCATCAACTCAACAAATTAGACTTCAAATTGATCTTATTTCTTCAATATTTATTTAACAATTCAAACTATTCATTTGACATAAGCTTCCAGAAGTACAGATTTCATAACAAGTAAATAAATTCAATGCAGCTAAGACAACATCCCCAGCCATATTATAAATACACATGCTGAACTGCCAAGTGTTGATGGAAAGTTTCACAAATTTACCAATTATCATAGTAAGTCATCAAACGGACAAAGAAAATTAGCACATTCAATCAATAGTAGAAAATAATTACCATTGTCTTGTCAAACTTATCAGGGACTTTTAAAGGTAGAAAAACATTCAGTTTATAAAAGAACTCAATTCCCTAAAAATTAATCAGGACTATGGATCCACAATTGGCATGCATCCCACAGAACTAACCTTGTCCAAAGCTACAAATTGATGATAAACTTAGAATTAGAGACATTATTAATAATAATGTCTGTATTCCATTCCATGGGGAAAACTTGCATGAGATAACGCCTGCTATTGAGAATGCCTCACCATGCAGATCACAACAAAATATACCTATCAATTTTTTTCTGACAATTAAAAACTACTGGTGACATGTGTGAAATACTTGAGAGAATTTTTAGAGGAGAAGCTCAGATAAAAAGGTACATTCTTCTTGAATGTAACCCATATTAAATAAATCTCTACGAATCAAAATTAGAATTTGCATATAAAATGGATGATTTTGGAATAGAAAATTATCATTTTTTATTTTAAATTTCAGGAAACAATGAAATAACATACACCTTCATCAAGATAACATTAAACAATTTACTCCAGTTTAATGTAAACTCAGGTTGAAAATATTTTCATCTCCTTCACACTAATACTAGTATTGTTAATTCAAATTATTATTCATCACTAAGAATCCAACAGTGAATTTAAAAGAAAAGTAAATGCCACAAGAATTCTTTATAGATAACGTTTCTGAATACAGGTTTATTTCCAGTTCAGAAATTATAGATGTAAGTACCATCAATGAGCACAATCAAAATCAATGAGCATAATAAAAATTTATAGCACAGATATTAAAACCTGATTTGACAAACTAAAACATATGGCATTACAGAAAAATTATCTCATCAATTTAACCTATTGAACATTTCCAGAGTATTAAAAATTGATGACCTTAAATTAGGCTTATTTTATAAAATATACAGGGATTCTAAAATTTGATTGTAAGAAGAGATATTGCCCTGCATAGTGCAAAATGCCAAATGAGGAAGATGTGCCAGTAGATTTTGGTGCAGCAACTCCTATGGTGCCAATTAAAGACTCCTTCAAAGCTAATTACGCCTCTATCATACCAATATAGGCTGATGACCATTGCACACAACTATTTTTAAAAACTGGATACAATCACATGAATAAAACATAAGAAAGGTACCGTAGGTACATTGAATTTTTGAGGAATTCCCTTTGATTTTAAAATTTTATTTATTAATTATACCAGGAAATAAAAAATCTAATTCTTGCATTAAAGCCACTAGAAAAACCAGTTATGCCCAATAGGTACCGTATTTAAACAAATTTGCATGTGTAATCTTTGACAATCTCAAATACAAGAGCATTTCTCAAGTCATAGCAGAGCACCAGCAGCCCTACCTCCAGCTTGAGTGCTGTTGGTGTGCAGGTGCTGCAGAGATCGTAGCTGGGCTGTGCTGCTAGACGTTACATCTTTCGGCAGCTCTGCAGTCAGGGACTGCTCACCTTTCAGTGCAAGCCCGTGGTATTTGCTCGGAACTGCAAAAAACATGTCAAAATTTCTAGAAAAATATTTTGGAGTAAATAATTTAAAAAGTTCTATCAAGAAATGTATGATGAGTTCACTGAAACTGGCATTTTCCAAAAAAAGCAGCACTTAGGTAAAATAAGTTTTTTTTTAGGTTAGGTTTTTCAGCATAAATAGCTAAAAAATAAGCCAATAAAGTTGTTGATTGGAGTAGCATTAAGTTCCTCACTGAATGGAAGCAAGACCCTCATGGCCTGGTAGTGGTGCATTTTGTAGAGTAGAGAGTAGAGACTTGCCACTGTGTTGTTCTGGTGCCCCCACGCCTGCAGGAGTCGGTCACAAGGACTCTCACCGCACTTCTCCACACGACGCATTTCATATAACTCGTGTACTTTGAAGTTCATGAACTGACCTCCTGCCATGATCAAACAATGGGAAGATCATCACAATAAAAAATAGGAAGTTTTCCCACAAATTGATATCTTGTACAGTATTAAAAACTTTTTTATCCAATGAATATGAATAGAAATGAAAGGCATTCATTCAGCTGTCAAGTCCTATTACATCCCATCCATTCAGCTGTCAAGTCCTATTACATCCCATTCATTCAGCTGTCAAGTCCTATTACATCCCATCCATTCAGCTGTCAAGTCCTATTACATCCCATCCATTCAGCTGTCAAGTCCTATTACATCCCATCCATTCAGCTGTCAAGTCCTATTACATCCCATCCATTCAGCTGTCAAGTCCTATTACATCCCATCCATTCAGCTGTCAAGTCCTATTACATCCCATCCATTCAGCTGTCAAGTCCTATTACATCCCATCCATTCAGCTGTCAAGTCCTATTACATCCCATCCATTCAGCTGTCAAGTCCTATTACATCCCATCCATNCAATCACAGTCTGGAGAGGATGACATTACAATCCTACCAACCAGTCTGGAAAGGGTCATGTATCTGCCTTACAATGATAAAATTTACATACTAATGTAGATTTTAATGTGCTAATGGATGTCAACAACTAGTATATACATTGGCAAGATAAGCAGCAGGCAAGCCAAGAATCAGCTTTAGAATCTCACCTAATCTCTCCCATTGGCTGTCCATGTCCAGAATGCTGCACAGCATTTTACGCTCAGTATAAGGAAGTTCATAGACATACTTCACAGAACTCTGCTGGTTACCTGTGGTCCTGCCAGCCATTGTTAATCCATAACACCTTTGGAAGATAATTAGGTCAATCACATAGAGCAAAAATTAAAAATTTTAGATTAGGATCAATAGGTAGGGTTTTCATATTCATAAAGCACAATTATAAATAAGAAAATAAGGCTGTTTTTTTCACCAAGACTTGTATACCGTACTACAACATTTCTACAAAATGTGGGATGACTGTCCCGATTTACCCCACCCATCCATTATTACCCCATTTAATGGTACCCATAAAATTTGGGCTCATTCCTTTTAGCCAGGTTTTTGCATAAACATACTATTTCTGTTTTTTGGTCTAAATATAGATCTTAAACTCAGATATGTTGCCTCTCAGACTGTTGCAGTTCAACTGATATATCTCAAATTGGAACTCCGGTTGGACTTGTTGAATCACCCAGCTCTAGTTCAGATTCAGTGCTTTTTTGCCACTTGAAACTACCAAAGTTTTTAGGCTGTGATGCGTTTTCTATGCCAGTTCCAGCAAAAATATCATCATTGAGCACATTTGGCAGTTGTTTGTTGATTTCCATATTTTTTGGTAGCAGAATTCTAGATTGCACACTGCTTTCTAGTGTGTCTTTGGTGTTGCTGGTGCTGGAACTATGTCCTCTTCATCTTCTGGTGTGTCAGAGCCTAATTCTGACAACTGACATTTTGCAGGTAATTTGCTTGAATTTCAATGCAAGAGCTTTTGCTGCTGTACATAGTGCAATTAGACATTCATTTTACATTACGTACCTTGGTAATTCAGGTTTTGGGAACATAGAACATAAATTAGAAGAACGGCTCACAGAGAAGCAGACAACCTCCCACATTGACAAATTACTTTTTAAAGACAACACTTCTAATGAGACTAGCGTTTCCAATATTACACATGTACAATGAATTTCTTATTTTATTTTAAATGCCGTAAAAGGGGGTTACTTAGACTCCCGGGGTAACTTAGACCACTTTTAGATTTTTTAACAAAAACCCCCAAAACTCAAAAACCATTTGGCATAGAAAAATTCTGTCAATAGGCATTAAAGGCCTAATACTGAGGCTACATAACACAATAGAAAGATAAAAAATTATGCATATCTAATAGGTTAAAAAATGAAAAATGTGACCCACGAAAAAAAAAACTATTATTTAAAGCCTGTCGTAGAACCCCCTCCTATTTTTTTATTTTTTGGTAAAATAACTCCAGGTTTTGGTGCATTGTAGTAGAACTCTTCTAGTTACATATGCAAATGACAAATTTGAGGAAAGTTTCATATACGTGCCTCAAACTATTGTCAGTCATGAAAAGATCCGGTCAAATGACACGATATTAGATCTTTTGTGAACAAGGCACAAAAAGATCAAGAATTGGCAACAGGCCACATCAGGCCTACGCTTCAGCGCCGACATCACTATGTTATGTTATGTTATAGTTCGCAAATGGGGGGCGCTGCCCCTGAATGGGGGAACTTAGACCACCTAATGTCAGCCCTGATGTTGTTGCAGGGGGAGCTGTATTGCTTTTTAGCCCAGCCCTTTGGCTATCATGCTCGTTTATTTGATGTCTGTGCTATGTTTTCTCATTATGTAACTTATTATGTACTTTTCCTTTTTCTTCTCTCTAGTCCAGACAAGGAAGTAAAATCATTAACGTAAAGTAAATTCCAAGCCAAGCATAATCCTAATGCAAAATCTCAAATGAATAACTAATAACTGCACCAGTATGGAAGTTAAGCTAACTCACCACTTGAGAGGAAGCAAGTGATTATTTATTGCATATATTCATTTCATTACTCAATTGATGTTCTATTACAAATGGTTTATATTTTTGTGATTTCACTTTGTTTTCTGATTTTCTTTTAATTGTGTTCAGTGTGTTTTAATTCTGCAAACTATATATTTTGGTGTTCATTAATTCTTCATTAAGCTGTTTGCTTTAATACAAGTTTGATATCATCATAAAGGTTCTTGATTATTACTATTTTTCTGCTTGTTAATTAATGCTTGTTCATATTTAATCCAATTCTTTATCTTATAGTCTTAGGGCTATGATGCATAAAATTAATAAGTTTTACTTTCTTTTTATGGCAGATCACATATGCATCTTGTCCATGCTCCTGTTCTAGTTAGTTCCATGCTCCTATGCATGTTAGTTCCATGCTCCTACGCATGTTAGTTCCATGCTCCTTAGTTCCTCAACTCCTATACTAGGCCATTCTTCCCTCAGTTATGCACCACACTTAATCATTTCATAACCAAGAGCCATTTAATTGAACTGTAATCTAAATTCTGTTAAATTTGTCAGTAATAAAAGATCAATTTTAGTCTCATCATAATCCACTTCCCAAGTAGGTTGTTCCCAACCTATCAAGTAGAAGTAGGCGAAGTGTTTGCCTCACCTGCAGGAGACACACGGCAACAATGTGGTAACATAGACTGGCTTGGAAATTAATTTAAAATTACCATTTATACCATATTTTGTGTTTGATACACCTATTAATGTTTTTTCCTCATGTTTCAGACTCTACAGAGTCTTATACATGGTAATTTCAACTTAATTTCCAAGCTGGTCAATATTACCCCATCACGGCTGACATTATGTGGTCTAAGTTCCCTCATTCGGGGGCAGCACCCCCCATTTGCAAACTATGACACTTTCCTCAAATTTGTCATTTGCATATGTAACTAGAAGAGTTCTACTACAATGCACCAAAACCTGGAGATATTTGGAGTTATTTTATCAAAAATAGGTATAATTGATTTTACCACCCAGTCTGAGATACCCCAGGAGCTGGGGTAACAAAGACCATTACTTTTTAACCCTTTACGCCCTGGCGTGACGAATTCGTCACACAGAAAAAAAAAACATCGGTTTTCCAACAATTTCACGTTTTCTGTCATTTTTTCGAAAAATTCATATGAATAAAAAAGTCTTAGATTTATTTTTTACATATGTGTACCAAGTTTCAAAGTTATCTGTCGGTAAGTAACCAAAATAAAATTTCCAATTTCCAATGGCAATGTCCAATTTCTTATGGAAATTCTATTTCGGTTAATTACTGACAGATAACTTTGAAACTTGGTACACATATGTAACAGATAAATCTAAGACTTTTTTGTTCGTGGGAATTTTTCCAAAAAAGTGAAAGAAAACGTGAAATTCTTAGAAAACTGACAAAAAGGGGGTACTGTAGAAATCTATCATCTCCTATGATTTTTGAGCTACAACATTGAGACGCATATCATTCGATACGTAAGGACCATATCCATCGATTGGTCCTTGCTGTTTTTCAAAATTCTAATTTTTGTGGGTGGGGTGGGCATTTTTTGAAAAAAATTGGTTTCTCCCTCCCCCCCTTTTGAATTTCCCCTCCCTTTTTTTCAAAATATTTTCAAAACTATAACGAAAATGAAAAAAAGCTTCGACCAATCTTTAGATCTTTTATTTGCGAATCGAACGGTATATTACTCATTGCTGTAGCTTAAAAACTCTGGGAGGAGATAGGTTTGCAGTGACAATAAGTGTGAATGAAATAAGTGTGAATGTTCAGTAGGGCGCGACAAAGTCCCGAGCCCCTCAAAATAGGCATTCAAGGTGACATAGATGCAAGACTAGACATTACTGGAGCCAAAATTCAGTCAAGGATGGTGGGAACGACTGCATGAGCACCATCCCACACGACAGCAGCCGGGTAACTGAAGAGCAGCGTCTTCAGGTTGTCTATTCATGTGCCCGACCAGTAATTTTCGCCCATATTAAATGTTAAAGAACTCCCCCACCCCTAACCCTTTCACAAACTGTCGTCAAGGCATAAATCAACGTACAGAGACAATTTTGGTACCGTTGGATAGGTCAGATTGTCAGCTTTGATGTGAGACTTAAAACCGAAAAAGTGAATTTTACGATTTTCATCCCAGAAATTCAGGGCGTAAAGGGTTAAAATTACATCAAAACTATGAGAGGCAGGAGCCAGCAATTTATAGTAAGTGAACCTAGAGAGGACGCAGTATAGACCCCTACATAGCCCTTGCCCACAATTCAATATCTATTCCTTTCCACTCGTAATCACGCTAGAGGGCATATTAGCCTGTGAGATTAAGTGCCTAAAGCCATAGGTGCCATTTCCTTTCCTGGAAATGAATCAATCAGCAAGATAACATCAAGCCGCCGAAGCAACAGCCGTGGGCAAATAGCCAAACTGTTGCGTGCTTGTATTAAACACAGCCTGGCGTCTTTGCAGCTTTTGAAAATAAGCGCCCAACATAACAGCGCCGTTACGTCACAGCCACTGCTTCATTGCGCTCTACTCCACAGGCTAAAGCGCAAACCGCCGTACCTATAACGCCATGCCCCGGCTCTCCCCCTTCACAGCCAGCAGAAGGCTTTTCTAGTTGCCGATCAGTAATGCGCCTGGCGCGATGGAGGGACCTAACATAACCTAACCAAACCTAACCCGGCGCACAACTGATCAGCAATTGAAGAAAGCCTTATGGCTGCGAAGGGGGAGAGCCGGGGCATGGCGTCATAGGGACGGTGGTTTGCGCTTCTGCCCGTGGAGTGCGGCGGGATAACGCCAGTCCTACAAATAGCAGAGCAGGTTTACAGTGATCCGGCGTGGTCTGCGGCCAGTAAGGCTTACGGCGTGTGCAAGAAGTGATAGTATGGGGTAAAATTCTGTGGAGTAGGACCTGTTGACAATAGACTATTTGATTCAGCAAGCTGTGGAGTGAGGTAGGTGTTGCTTAAAGTTGGTGTGGGGAGATGACTCAGTTACCTACAGCTTCTTGGGTGTGAGCTGAGTTTAGTTATTGCATTATAGGGTAGGTGTTGGCGTTAGGACTTGTTTATGAGCTAAATTTGTGGTGTAGGGCTGTGCTCCCAACCTAGAGTATAGACCAGTATTTTGCATATTTCAATTTAAGTTTGATTTAGCTAGTAAAAAAATACATCATTTAAAAAAAGTTGTCTAAGTTACCCCCTTTTGCAGTATTAGAGAAATTAATTTCTAAAGCTTTTTACACATAATTTAGTTTTTTATATAATTTAGTTGTTAATTGTCTCCTCGTTGGTTTTAATTTGACAAGCTCATGCGTGTACAAGTGGTAAAATTTATCATTTAGTTTGCTAGGTAAATAATATCAAAGAGGGAAAAAACATCATTTTATTAGGTCAAGATTGGCTTCGATTCAACAAACAAATGCGTGGAAAATTTGCAATGAAAATTAGTCTCAAAAGTGTTGATTTGGTCAATTAAAATTTACCAGAATTTTCACTAGGTAAAAAGTGGTCTAAGTTACCCCGGGAGTCTAAGTTACCCCAGTTTACGGTACCTCGGGTTTCAAAGTTCATCAAACAAGCCCCTAAGTCATTGCTATAATTGTGCTAATAAAATTTGTAAGAAAAAAAATTAGAAAATTACAAACAAATAAAAATTAGGAAGGAAAAAATCAGTTGAGCTGATTTATGATTTTTTATTATAACTAGCAATGAGTTATTAAGGTCATGTCATAATGATAATATGAGTATCTATATTTACAGATAATAGTTCATGTATAATTGTCAGTTTCCAGACCTGGAGATGGTGACTGATTGTAGCTTTGTAGTCATTCTAATGCATAGTGACTACTGGAACTGTAAGTCTAGCCACTTGGGTGTTATTACGTCATAACTAACACCACTACCACACTCACTCTCTTTCTCTCTCTGGAGCCCTCGAATTGCACCTTATGGTTCCCCCCCCTGAACTCAGGGCATAGTGGCAAACCAGAGCATTTTTTAGAATCAGTTCATTTAAATTGCCTCATTGGCTCAAGATTTAAACCAATTTCTCAAGTATGATAATGCTGGTATCCATGATACTTGACTAGACACTGGTCTACTTATAGGACTAAAAAATTAACTTGAGGGAGAGTCTAACAACTTTCTGCTTTGTCACTATGATTAGGGAGGAGCAGTCCGGCAGTAATCCATCACAGCCTGGGGGCTGGGACTGCTAAATCCAAATCAAATCCCAAGGATACCAAGATGTGCCTCCTATAGTGCTGGGCCTGGGGCTAAATGACCCCAAGGTCTTCCTCAAATTCCACACTGACTGCATGTGCCTTTGTCTGAAGGCAAAGACACACTGCTCCGAGTGCTCTCCTTCCGCCGCTTATGGGCCACACTCAGGAAGATGTATATAAACAGGGAAATTTCTCGCGTAAATCAATCTAATTATATTTTTTTCGCACAGACGTTCGTGCAAATCACGGTCATTGATTCCGCGCTGCGCAGCACTTGGCGCGGGCCGCGGAGCTGTCCGACACAGTTCTGATTTAGACACAGTTTTCATCTGAATGGAATGGCAACATCGTCTGTAGATGATTTCAAGTAACGCTGAACCAGCATTGCCAGATGGTATATTTCCTGTCTCTTATACACATCTAGATGTGTATAAGAGACAGGGAAAACAGCGTAGCTGAAGTGCAGCCGCTCGCGCTCCTTGTCGCGGGTGCCGCGAGTGTACAATGGAAGTCTGGATAGAGTATCAGATATTAGGTATAAATGCAGAATGACGACAAGAAAGTTTGATAAAGCTCTAGTGGGATGGATGTTGAATTCGTAACAAAGAGTTCCACCGTAAAGCAAGCGTCAACACTAAACGCAAGTAGCTTCAACTATTAAATCAAACTTCGATACCATAAATTATGCTATATGTATATTTTTCCGACATTTGTTTAAATAAAGTTTCTTCCTAAAGTTTGGACTGCCATTTATTTTTTTTTTTTGTCGTGATAACCTTATCTCTTATACTGATCATAAAGATCTTNGCATTCGCACCTCGTAAATGGCTTTTCATGGCCGAGATATGGAATTCACGGCTCGGTGAAATAGAATCACGGCTCGTAGAAATGGAATCGCGGCTGGCAAATCCATAAAACCACGGCTCGAAAAATTCAGTCGCGGCTCGCCAAGTAGATATATTCCATACTAGACAGTGCGGATACACGTTTGTGTGTACGGTCAGTGTGATTACGTAATTTGCATTGCCGCGCGTCCATATTTAAACTATTTTAGCTTTCTAAAAGTACGGCGCACCGCGCAGGTCGTTAAAATGACAATATAAATTCCCGCGCACCTGGCACATCTTTCTGACCATGGCTTATGGGTAAGTTATGGCGCTTAGCGCGACATTGTCAAAGTCTAAATTATGATTCTCTTGAGTGCTGTACAGAATCTTCAGAGTGCTGTACACTGTACAGAGATTTCAGAAATGTTTATACATTAAAACAGTCTAATTAACAATGAGAATGACAGGGGGTTTCTTAATAATTTGCATACATTTTTCTTAATAATATTGCATAATAAAATGGATCAGTTGATATAAAATACAATACACATACAAGAAAGTTGAAGAAACACATGTCTAATGATCAAATTAAATAATAGGCTAACAGCAAGACCTGGAGACCAGAAATTTAGAATATAACTAGTAGTTGATTTGAGCTGGACCACAGGCCTTATCCTAGTCCTACCTACTGCCACTGGCACTTCTCATGGACATGATTCATGAATAGGAAAGAAGAGGGGAGGGGCGAGAAAGCCAGTCGGGTTCTTGAAAAGGAAATCAGACACTTGACTTATTTATTTCTTATTTACTCATACTCTCGTAATATACGAGATGTCAAAAATCAAGTTGATGATTGTGTGGGTATTCTAACTAGTATTGCGTTAATCACTGAGGAAAATTTTACGTTAATCTCAGAGGAACTTCAGTAATCACCGACACCGAGCACAATCGTAAGGTATTTACCGTAACAACGCCGCTGACTCTCTCCCGTAGACAGACTGAGAACTTCGGACTTGTGCCCGGATATGGAAGGGGTTCTGAACCGTTCTTGCGGAATTAACAATTTTCCAATATTAAATGGATTGATATAAACCATGGAATCAAATAACCTCTCAATTTACCTTCAGTGAACTGAGAAAAGTACTCAAATCGTTATACAGCATTAACATTTCACCTTTCTGCAACTTCACTCTCTGAATCAAAATTTCAAGGTTTAAGTAGTCTAGGGCAGACAATAAAAAATTCATTTATTCAAAATGCAGTTATATGAAAATAGTAATCGTAATGATCATTGTTCATTATCTACATGGTTATCTACCATGATTATCTATCCGCAGTTGTTTGCATATGAATAGTACGAGTAAAGCAATAGAACATTCAGTAATGTTCGAGCTTAACGATTGAACAGTGTTTTGATTGATGAAATTTGGCTGTTATCGTAATGAAATCCATCACAACAACAACAAGCGAATATAACGGACAATGCTAGTCGACTTTGGTACAGTCCACCAAAACCTCATTTGACTGGTCACCACATTGGCCCGTATGCTAAATAGGGCACTAGCACTACGAAGTAGCACTATGCACTACGAAGTGTCCTGTTGGTATGCTAAATACGTCACAGACACTAAGCACTTCGAAGTAGCTCTACAATGTTTAGTGTCGCTTAATGTCGCACTACTGATTCGTATGCAGAAAGACTTTGAAGTGCTACTTCGCTGTTAGAGTACTTTATAGTGCCGCACTACGTTATGAGTCTATTGAAGAATGGTAGTTAAGTGCTCAAATAATTAATTATTCCCTAAGTAATTCTCATTCTTTACAGAAGATTGATGTAAAATTTTTAATTGTGATGGTAATGGTACTAGTGACAATTGTGATGGTAAGCTGAAATTCGCAATGCGTCTGCGCACCTTTCCCATCATATATTCCAAGTCCACGCTTCCCAAAGACATCGAACAAAAGAGAGAAACATGGAAAGTTCTTGCAGAAGAATTCAAAATGACTCCAGAAAAAAAAAACAAAAAAGAAAATTCAAAACATGTTATCGAAAACAAAAAAAAAGTATTTTCTACTTCTACGCTGTTCATCTGTTTCGCCAAGGAAAATGTCAGCCATAAGAATAACATGTTGTTCACTGAAGCGGTACACTTTTTTATATTCATGGCATGTAGTTCCTGAGGTTTTTACGATTTGCTGTAAGCCAAACAGATCCATAGCTGACGAAGTAAACAAGGTTAAATATACCGTAGTGTCGTCGTGAAGTGCGGTGTGTAGGACACTTAAGATTTTTGTAGTGCGCGTTATGCTTTTGGCCATATTTAGCATACCAACCGTAGTGTTCCATGCCGCTGACTATGGCTTGTAGTGCGTAGTGCTAATTCATAGTGCTAGTGCCCTATTTAGCATGCCAACCGTAGTGTTCCATGCCGCACTATGGCTTGTAGTGCGTAGTGCTACTTCATAGTGCTAGTGCCCTATTTAGCATGCCAACCGTAGTGTTCCATGCCGCACTATGGCTTGTAGTGCGTAGTGCTACTTTGTAGTGCTAGTGCCCTATTTAGCATGCCAACCGTAGTGTTCCACGTCGCACTAGTACGGCACTACGGCTTGTAGTGCGTAGTGCTACTTCGTAGTGCTAGTGCCCTATTTAGCATACGGGCCATTGGCTCTGAGCATTCATGACTGAATAAAGACTTTTCAGTATTGCCTCCAAACCTCCTTTAGCCAGTGCATTATCGAAAGCGAGACAGAATTGCTTTCTAATTTTTGTGTAAATGTCTAAATTGCGGTCCACTATTGAAATAAGGTTTTCTTCTGCAAAGGTGACTTTGAGGAGAGCCACAGTTGATTTATGAGTCTGATCAAACTTCCCTGCTTGACAATTTAAATCTAGAGATATTCAAAATATGTCTGGTCTGTTTCCGTCATGAGCCTCGTCTGATTTAGGGATCATACTTCGTCCTTACTGACGAAGCTTTGGGCGACTCTGAATAAATTACCAACTTGAAGGTTGTCTTAGGATGCTGAAACACTTCGACGGCATTCTCCTCTCGAATATCATCCTGTACTTAATGTAGAAAAAGTATTTTTACGACTATAGTGAGTAATTTAAAGTCGCTAAAGAATTTATCCGTAGCACCAAGATGGCGTTTCCTAATACACGAGAGGTTATTCTTCGACTATTTGTAGTTGACTCATTTTCCTAACGATGACAGATACAAAAAATGGAAAAAATTCAACTATTCTGTCAATGTCACTGATAGATAGATGACAACTAATCTCTTACCTGAGGATAAGGCATCCGTTTCAAATTATTGAAGACAGAGACAAGAGCCTTCTGCTCCGCTTCGCTGCTTTTTGCAAGAAAGCTTCTCTTAATTAAGGGAGTGCTCCACCTTCCCGCTTGAATGCACATGAGTTTGGAGAGGTCAAAAGCCTCACCTAGAACTGCGACAGCGTCTGCTGCAGATGTTGGAAATCTTCTTTCTAATTCAATACGGAGTTTGGAAAATTTTGACCTTCAGATGAACTGATCATTGATGGATCTTTTAGCACTTGCACAATTTATAGAAAAAGAGAGGTTTGCTGTCACGTCCTCTTTCTACAGCGGTTGAGGCTTCTCTCCGTATATAATTTTTAGTTAATATATATCGAAGCCTCTGAAGACAAGTTCAATGCAGCCCCATGACAGGACAATTTAAGGAAGTTGACAGAATTTTGTTTCTCAGTTACGAAATTGGGCGTCCTGATGAGTCGCCTAAGGTTTCTCAACGACCGAAGGGCTACGGAACGGAGACGCACAAGTGGAGAGCACATCAGGGTCTCAGAGAGTCCCACTCCAGGACCAGGTACCTGGAGGCTCTAACCACTCACCTGGGGGCACTAACCACTCATCTGGGGACACTAACCACTCACCTGGGGACACTAACCACTCACCTGGGGGCACTAACCACACATGGGTGCATCTCAAAATCATCGAAACTAATACAAAGGAAAAGGAGCCAACTCAAAGTGGTTGAAATTATGCCATTACAAATAATCCTGACTACGATGTTCGCACCCAGCAAGCCCACGCGGGGCGCCAAGAGGCGGTCGGCCGGCAGACCTCGAGGTGCGACCCTAGCGATGCATCAGAGGCTGCGTCACATCACTGGAGGTCCCGGCCAATAATTTAACTGAATCAGCAGCAGTCTTCATGTTTAGAGCATTTCCTGTTGGTCGAATGGCCATCTTACCGGAGTTTGAAGTACTGATGGAAAAAAAACTGACAAGGCATAGGCTACGGAGTTCATGTTGTTAGGTGTTTTTCGTCTATTCAGTTAACTTCGTATTTGCCAATAATTGTAGAATTTAAATCCAATTTTGATCCAATAATTTCACCACTTTCCGCCAATCCTTTCCTATTCTCTCACTAAAAATGAATGTTCAAGTCCAGGTAATATCCCGACGTGATAAGTATCCTGGATAAACACGCGAACTGCCCCTACATATACATATATCTAGTGCCAGGCACACTCACAAACTCTGACAAATGTGTGCATGATTTATGAACAAGGGAACGCTAAACCAAACTAAATTTGCGTATCCTTTGTCAAAGACTATTATTAATAGCTCATCTTGATTTATATCTTTTATGTACGTTTGAGCTGAAAAAGTTATTAAAATAAATACGGTTATAATCGTTGGTAATATGCTGGGACCTTGTATTAGTAAGACTTCGTGGTAAATATTTTATCTAAGTTGGCATTGAAGAAAGCTAAACAGATTTTTAAATTGCATTATTTCTCTCAGTAAGACGATGGTGCCTTTATTAATATTGAATGTAAGGAATGACTCGTTCTCCTTTAGATCGTGAAGTACGTTCTACCGTACCAGCTGAGCTTCATTGAGGCGCAGGCGGTGAACTCGTCGCTGTCGCCAGGCCTGCGGCGCTGGTCGCGTCGCATAACATAAGCCTGGGACTGCACCGCCACAACCGACACGCCTACAACTTCATGGCCAAGATATTTGCCTTACCCACCGAGGCTGAGCTGCAGAAGTGAGGCGCTCAGAACGAGACGACGTCAACTGAGGGCGACGTCGCGTGCAACAACGTCACTCTCACCGAGGCGCTCGTCGATGAGGCCACCTTCGATAATCTCATGTCCGTTATACTATAACCTTATGGCTTCGCGTATCTCATTCTACATCTGCTAGACGCTCATGAAGCGTCAGGGTTGGACAGTGACTGTTTTGTCGTCTTAATGAATCTTACCTTCCATAAACTGCTGTCAGATTTGAGTTTTAATTTTGATACAACTTGTGAATGCGTTCTAATTATTTGCATTTGCTTATCACTGGAATTTTGACGATTCGTCCTTTGACTATTGTTATGAAGATAGAATGACTAGAGTAAAATTTTATGGGTTACCAGGTATTTACTCGCTTTCAGGAGCAATTTATTCGTGGGAAGTATTTACAGCTGTTCGACTATCTTCACGTGTATTTTTATATATTAAATTTTTTCTGTTAATCTCTGATAACTGTCCAAGGTCGAAGTCACTAGGATACTTGGTGTTGTGTAGCGTTGAAATGATTTTTGGTACTCTCACTTCAAAGAACAAATTATAAATTTAATTTATTTATATAAATCAATTATTTTTCTTTGGTCCAATAAACTTATTGATCTTGGGAGCGAAGAAAGTCGAAGTACCAAAAACTATGTAAACGCTACAGTAAATATCGCCCTCCTTACTACTATGTTTTAGAGTAATTTATTGTACCTGATATACATGTAATCTCCGCCAAAGTAAATTATATTCAGTTAAAATAATTGACCTTTTTCAAAGCTGTACGGAAATATGTATTCATTAAATTTTTGTAACCACTTATTCTTAGAGGTGCTCGTGTTCAAGCAATAAAATATTCTATAATATTATTGTGGTGCGAATTTGTCAACTTGGTTAGCTTCTGGGACGTGACAAGACTCCTCTTAATTGTAAGCGTGATAAGAAGCTTAGTTATAATCCCTTTTGAGCAGGTTTTCCAAAATCCTTCTAGATGCATGACAATCTGTGCTAAGTACTAAACGGAACGACGTACTTTCTACCATTCCTGTTTGGAATGGTTGAAAGTTCCTGTTTCAACCATTCCAAACAAAGCATTGAATCTGCCGGAAAAGAAGGAAAGATAAAACATCTTTCCTTCTGTTCTGACAGGATCAATGCTTTGTTTTGGAAGCTCGAGTTTGTTGCGTTAACAGCAAGTGCTCAGAGCGCCAGGGCAAAGCACTGAACGCTTTCTTTAACAGAACTTGTCTGCTAAACAATGCGAACATGCCTATAATGTCGCGCCCAGTCGTGAGAAGCACTTAGAATAGAATAGAATGGAAGTGTCGGCGTTGAAGAAATAGGCCCATGGCCTGTTGCCGATTCTTGAACTGTTCGTGACTTGATTCACAAGGGATCCGGCCTTTGGAACCCGATCTTATATGCAGCTCGCATATGTTATGACGGCCGTAATTATGCAGCTTGCATTCGCTGTGGCCGCAGTTACTCGCCACAGTGAGCTCGAACTTAGCTTTCTATTAACACTGACTACTAGCTCAATATAAGAAAGAGGGAATGGAGCGGGTCGCCTGCCGAAGACCACCACTACCCTGGATGTAATGGACCATCATGATTCCTGCCTTCCGGAACGTAGCCTTCAACACTTCAAGCCGTCCGTCGAACCAGCCCGCGGTCGAACGGCCACTCGTCGAAGGACGATAAATTTTGGAACTGAACTATGCTATCTGAAACCTAACCTCAGATGCGGTGAAAGTAAAATTACGTAATTTAACGATACCCGGAAGTCATATTCGATCCATGGCCTGGTGGTGCACGGCAGGTTTTATGCTAGTCCGGAGGAGGACAAAGCCGAGTGGTTCACGGCTGATTGGTGGATGTCCGGAAAGATCTAAGGCGTTCGATTCAGGGCCTATTGGTGCACAAAATTGGTGGTGCACGGCTGCGCTCCCAATGGAACGATGCTTAATTAGGTATGATAAGAAACACGACTATCAATTAAGTTGATTGTCGGTGCATATCAAATTGCTAACGTTATGCGCAAAATTGAGAACATTTCTTGTTTCACGATATTTGATTTCATTTCTATATACCTGTAAGAAAAATTTTTGGAGAACGATCGTGTCGTGAAGGCGATTATTTTGAAACGCTGCTGGTCACCAACCAAAGTCCAATCACGAAGGTGATAAACCCTTAAACTTTACCGATAACGACTTCAAATAAAACACGGAGGTGACAATGCTGAAAATTTACAATAGTGACAGCGTTCATTAGGCTAAATATGGACGTACACCGATTCTTGACATCGCAGAATTCTAGCAGCTTGCTGGGCTTCGGACCGATCGTTGCTCAAATCGTTTTTCTGACCCACACGGCCACCTCGTCTGTTATGATTAGGCCTGTCATAACAAGCTAGAATCGAACCCGCAATCAATGTTAGTACACTGCATCAATTTTAGTACTCTCAACTGTTACCACGCTGAAACTGTTCCGTCTCTGTCCCACTATTGTCACCAAAATAATCTCGCATCAGCTCCCCCAACTGTTACCACGCTCAACTGTTACCACGCCACCCTGCCGATTATTAGTCGCAGTAACAATAATTAACTTAGAAGATTTTAATGAGGATCAACGAAAAGACTCGTTTTTCCTACTAAACTTCGTTTTTAGCCTATTAAACTGAACTACCAGCCTAGACAGTACACTAAAGTATACAGTATGGTAAGCAATTAAGGAATGTCAGGATAAAGAAAGATAGGGTCTGGATTTACAGGGCTTGTGGTTAAACGTAGCAAAAAATACCGCGCTCTGTCTAAGAATACATTATCCGTCGTAGAGGTAATTCCTTTATATATGACTAATGGCAACAGAAATACTATCAACAATGTGACATTATTGAACGACAGCTGCGCGATTTCCAGAGATACAAAAAACTTTAAACTTGCACAAGAAAAAATGCCGAAGCACCCACAGATAATAAATTTGTGGGGCTGTCAAATTACAAGAAAAAGAACGCGAAAAAAAGATATGAAATGGAAAGGTTAATACAACCCTGAAATAAGGCCTGAAAAAGAAATCACTTGGCATCAATACCACCACAAGAACAGTCTAAATCACACATTCGTCTGATAAGGAATCCTTAACATGTCTTTGAGCACAATCCCTGGACGTCCGCCTCTGTCCCACTATTGTCACCAAAATAATCTCGCATCAGCTCCCCTAACTGAGGACAGATGAGCGTTAGTTTTATTGCTCCTGGGCCTCAGTAGCATAGACGTGCCTCAGGCAGTTGACGACGTAGTCGCATCACCGTAGCCCTACAAAAAATCTTCCGAACCTTTCACGAAAAATTTGTGTCGTTTAAATAACTAGAACTGAAAAATTTCCATTATAGATACCAAACCAAATACTGTTGCACCGTATCAACGGTCCCAGGCAAGACGAGTCACCGTATCAACAGTCCCAGTCACCGTATCTACGGTCCCAGGCAAGACTAGTCACCCTATCAACGGTCTCAGACAAAACGAGTCACCGTATCAACGGTTCTACAAACTATCAGCGTTCTTAGGGAAGCTGAGGAAGTCGTGGCGGAAGTAAAGGTATTCTCTAAGAGGAGCTGGCAACACGTCTCGCAAGCCTTCCGTCTTCTCTTCAATCCTGCAGTGGCCGAGGGAGGCGCGGATGGAGAGGCGACACAGCTCCTTCAGCGACCGCAGCGGCGCTACACACCAACAATATTCAATGTTCATTAATGCTAAGCTAATGAACCTTTATTAAATAATTATAATATTACAGCATTATAATATTATTTATAAGCATGTAAGTATATGCATTCATTTAATGGCCGACTCCCAACACATCAGCTGTAACCTGTCTCAGCCACTGTAATAGGTGATCAATTTTTAATCACGAGAATCAATTACCTACTTCTCATCTCAAGGCCTTAATTAATAGAGACGGGGACAAATAATTTAAAAGATATCATAATTCAGCCTCCTAAATTAGGGAACTCCAATTAAAAGTACAAATTGGGTACAACGAAGTTTTAGTAAATCCTTTCTTTGAGTGAAGTTAAGAAGGAGGTCCATTAACCCTAAGTAAACTGCCTCACTGTTTGATTTGAACGTACCCATTTGATTTAAACGAGCCATTACGTTTTCTGCAAGATAGCGATTTTCCAGCGGCCTCATTTCCTCGCTACGAGACCCAGAAGGCGTAGAGTTCCGAAGCTTCCACCTCGGAGCATAACGGTGAAGAATGGAGGACATGAGCCGACTCCTTTCATCATTCGCCCATGTAATTTCTGTCTCGCTATTCCAGAAAACAGAAGAATTGACTTTTAACATCATAGAAATTTCTAACTTATATGACTATATTGATTGATTCAGCAAGCTCCATAATTCTATATCAGTAATTGGCTGAGACACTTACTCCAGGTACAGGAATAATTCGTGCACGCCGAGATGGAGCAGCATAAGAACAAGGAAATGAAGTCCTGCTTTAATGCCACGTCTACACAAATCCGTCATCAAGCGCGACCTGAGGCACACAAATGAAAATAATGTGATGACGCTCGGAGCAAGAAGCTAAAACACGAATGTGAACAGTATCATATGTAGTGGTAATGTAGAGTTTATATATGCATCAGCTGTGAAGCTACCTCGCATCGAATGATGTATTGCAATGCAGACATTTTCATCTAAACGAACCCACCTGAACCAGCACTGCCCCTCTTCACAGCAGTTCCTGGTCACCTCTGATAACAGAATTCGATACGGTGACTGCGGCGAGTGCACAAGAGCTTAGAAATCAACGTCAGTATTTTGATGGATTGGGCGACCTGCGCATTGACTAGATAAGAATGCTACCCAGTTAAAATTTAGGGCAGGGAATAGAGCAGGCCGTCGCCGGCTGCAGAGCCGGCGTAGAGACGCGATAGAGCAGCGATAGAGCAGAAATGTCCGCTTTAGAGACGATATCGCCAGCCGCGAATCAGCGCTAATTAGCTTCTGAGTACCTGCCCAGGTGTGCTCTGCCCTGCCGTCACGCAGCCCTTACTGAGCACCGCCTGCTCAAACCTGCCCAACGCCTGACTGCCGAGCTGCTAGAATTTTGTCTCTATATCAGCCATGGCGCAGCGCAGTTTTAGGGATAGATGGCCGGTTATTGTTTCACGGCTCCATCCTGCTAAAGCGCGACCAGCCCGGCTAAACCCGGCGCCGGTCTCGGCTCAAAATTTTAACTGGGTACCGCAGATGACCTTGTCAGCCGGAAACCTGGAAAGTGTCAATACGCACGTGTCTCGAGAGTTCTTGAGAGCATATAAGTACTCATATCACCAGTCAGCTAAAATCGAAAGTTTACCAAGAGTAATCGCTAAGTAAATTCACCAAATATTAGTGAAAACATTTCGTAGACCAGCTCCATCAGCAGTTCAAAAAATACCACTTTTGAGAATACAAGTAAAATCAGCAGCAAAAATTCAATATCCACAAAAAAGACTCAAGTGACGAGAAAACGACAAAAAAACTTATCCAGTTACAATATCAAGAGAATATGAACTATACGCGTTATTAAAACAAGGTTTCCGTTTAAAAATATGCAGTGATTCTAAAATTCGGTGCCACCAGAAGTGGCACCGAGTATCTTGAAATCGCTCTCAGACACAGTCACGTTGTTGTTAGTTGCGACCAGATTCACGCTCGCCGGGGGGAGGCTCAGGTGGTGGCTGGGGGGAAGGCACCGGAAGAGGGGGGAGATGGGCGAAGGCGGGGAGGGTCTCGCAGTGAAGAGACGCTGAGGGACGTGGGGAAGGCGGGGAAGGCGGAGCTAGGGGAGCGTCTCATCCTGGCGGAGTAGGACGCCAGGGAGCTGCAGTATCCAGAGCGGAGCTGAGATAGCGCCGAACGGTAGGGGCGAGGGAGTGAGACCTATACTGATGCAATCGGCGGTGGTGAGACTGCGAGGACGGCGTTGATAACGTCAGTAGTCACCGCAACGCGGGAGGCGATCTCCTTGCGGAGAAAGCGCTTGGCCTCTCCATAGGCACCGGCGGGCATGATACCATTTGCCAAAAATAGTGTGACAAGGTGGCCGAACCTCGACTGGATGGAGGCTTTCATGGGGCGGTCTCCGAGTGGAGCAGAAGCGGTGTGGAGTGAGGTATGGGATGGCTGGAGGGCGCTGGCGAGGAACTGGGCACAAGCCAGGATCAGATGGGCGGACAATGGGAGGACGCCGGTCTCCTGGTGAAGACGGGCGATCGGGGCCATTTTGAGGCAGCCGGTGGCTAGTCTCAGTGCAGTGTTTTGTATGGTTTGAAGGCTAGCTATAACAGTGCGTGAGACGACCGGGTACCAGATGGGGGCCGCGCATTTGAGGATTGGGCGCGTGATGGTTCGGTAGGTGGCGATAATGTCCTCCTTGGAGAAGCCTCAATTGGTGCCGGCAATGGATTTTAAGATGCGAAGAGATCCCGTCGCTTTCGTGGCTATGGTTCTTGCATAAGGGGAGAACGTGAAGTGCGTGTCTCAGGTGACGCCTAGGATTTTAGGGGTTTTATCCAGGGGGATGATGCCGTTGCAGATTGTGGCAGATGGGTGGGATCGGGATTGGTGACTATCTGGGGTGAAGAGCGTGACCGAGGACTTGCCAGGACCCACGCCGTTTCTTGGCAGCCGACCAGTCTGAGACGCCCCGAAGTAGCACAGAGAGTTCAGCCTCCGCAGCGTCGAGCCTCGGGGACGACACGAAGATGGTAAGGTCGTCCGCGTATGAGGCAATGTTAGGGACCGGCACTGGGATATCAGAGATGAAGTGGTTAAAGAGGGTCGGCGAGATGACAGAGTCTTGGGGAACTCCCGAGTGAATAGCTCTGAAAGGAGATTGTGTTCTGAGGTAGAGGCAGGATGCCTGCCTGCCTCTGAGGTAGCAGCACAGCCAGCGGACCAGGTTGTGATGTAGGTCCGAGGCCGCGATCATGCTTAGGAAAGGTTGGTCGACACTGTCGAAAGCTTTCGAGAGGTCGACCGCAGCAGCGCCTGTGCGGGCTGGAGGGCGCCGTGAGTTAAAACCCGTCGCGATCTGGTGCGCGAGCGGGAGGAGGACGGTGACTGTGTGTCCCGGTTTGAAACCATGTTGCGAGATGGTAGTGAGGGATCCTTAGATGTATGGGAGCACAAGACGCTCTAGGATCATGGCTGCAGGGCAGAGAGAAATGGGGCGGTATGAAGAGCCCTGGTTTCCAGGTTTGCCCGGTTTGAGGATTGGAATAATTATTGAATTTCTCCAAATGGATGGGTTAGAGACTGTGGAGACGGAGATGTTAAAAATATGGGTAAGGAACTGGAGGCCACGTGGGCCGAGGTGCTTGAGTGAAGGACCGTGAGGCCGTCTGGACCCCGAGCGGAAAAGTTGTCGGCGGCTGCGATGGCGAGCTCCACCATGTCGGGGGTGAAAGGGGAGAAGTCCCTGTCGAGAGGATGTTCAGCCTGGATTCGGCGTATGAGGCGGCGGGTGGAGGAGCTTTGAGAGTGAGGAGCGATCGAAGTGAAGAGTTTGCAGAAGGCGGAGATCTTGCGCTGGGAGGAGAGGGGATTAAGACCCAATTGGATTGGCTGACTGGGGGGAGGGCCGTTACACTTTTCGGCAAGGGAGCGAAGGAGATTCCAGTGTTTGGACTGGCTCGTACGTCTGCTGCACGACGCAAGATGCGTTCGCCAGGTGTTCCTGGCGAACACAGTCACGTCGCACTGTTCGGCATACAAGCCCACAGCCAAAGGAGAAGGCATGGAAAATGACATGTTCGAACGAAAGCTCCTACCGCGATGCTCAGAAACACGTGTGTAGACGACATCATTCCGACGTATGCTGATGCGCAGAGCACATAACTTTATTATATATACGTACCAGGTTAGACGTTATTGACTCAATAACGCGCCTTGACTCAACAACGCGTAGTTCCAATCCCTTTGAAAATGTAAACCGATAGGTTTCTATGTTGCTTTGTCGATTTCTCGTCACTAAAGTTTGATCTTTTCATGTACAGGGTCCGCCATATTTATGGCAACGCATGTTTTTTTTATTATTTGTCAATGAAACAAACAGGTGCATTGTTTTTTTATTGGATGAGCTAGTAGCCAAGAATTACTTAAACAGCTTTCAGATATATTTATTCAATATTACCACCCTTATTTTTAATGACGGCCTCCAATCTACGCGGGAAAGCTTCACAGGAGACACGCAGCATTTCTTGAGGGATCAAGTCCCATTCTCGTGTAATTTAAACTAGAAACTATCCAAAGAATCATGATGTGTTCTGCAGACCATACTCTCTAAAATAGCCCACACAGAAAAGTCGAGGATTCAAATCAGGGCTTCTTGAAGGCCATTCATTTTGCTAATGAACCCGGGATGTGACCCTGAATCCAGTTTTGGGTCATGTTTGAGCGATGTAATGAGGCAGAGTCTTGTTGAAAACTCAATGGTGAGCCGTTGAAGTGTTTCAGTGTTTCAACACAGCTTCCAAAATGTATCGCTGACTGTTCAATTTCACTCCATCACGGACATGGGATTTTGACGTCGTGTTGCTGTTCTGTTTGCCACACATCCATCCCGACTCCAAACTCTGCCATTTTGACGGTTAACGCTTTGTTCAATGTCAAATTTTTTCTCGTCACTGAACACCAAGTTGGGCAGCGTGCCATCCTCAATGAGATCCAGAACGTGCTGGCATCTTTCGAACCTCATTCGTTCATGACGGTCTGTTAGTTCATGCCTTTTTTGCATCGTGTAAGGGGAGGTTTTGAGGTCATCTTTGAGGACTCTACGCATTGTTGTCTGACTAACTCCTGCCTCTGCAGCCAATTTTGCAGCTGAGCGACGAGGGTTTCTCCTCAACTTCTCCCTCGTATTTTTGACCAATTGTTTTGTTCGGACACTTCGTTTCGTTCCTTGACCAGGTCGATTGCATGTTTTACCAGTTTCCTTGAATTTTTCACCACCTTCCACACAGTTTCACGACTAATTTGGAGATTTTTGCACTGACTTAATTACTCTCGCCCTTTTCATGAAGGGTTACAATTGCATTTCTATCTACTGCCATAAGTAATAGTAAATTTAGACACCTTAGGCTTTTGCAATATAAAATAGATGAATTAATAGATGATATTAAGCTTCCTTATAAAAGTCTCCTAGAAACCAATTTATTTTATATAGAAAACATCCGTTGCCATAAATATGGCGGACCCTGTATATTTTGGATTTTTACTGTTAATTTTATGAGTATTCTTTAAGTTTTTTTTCAACTTCTGATGCTGGTCTTTCAAACGTTCTCATGAACATATGGTTGATTTACTGGACGTTTCCTCTGCTTTTAAATAGTTTTAGAGAATAATGTAAACATATATTACATGCATCTCGATTATTACCAGCTGATGATATTCATTATTTATCCTCTGCCAAAAGACCGTATACGCCAGAAATTAGAAGCAGTGAAAATCAAGCCAATGCTCCCTCCCAAACACAACACTCACCTTTCTGTTTCATCAGTAGCAGGAGCTTCAACACGAGGGGAACCAAACATAAAGTCGTCTCGAGCAGCACAGCGTTGAGGATGTTATGATCTATTTCCGGGCCCTCACTGCCCAGTATGCTCAAATATTAGTAAAAATACATGTATAATAATTAGCACAACGAGATTTCTATTATATGGAACTTTTTTCAGTAGAGAGTTTCCCCGGAAGACAAGACCTGAAGTAATATTCGAATCCTTTCAGACGCATCATTAGAATCATAAGATTTACGTTATTTCAAACGATTCAGGTGATTATCAGACGAGAACGGCTGGAGTAAATAGTCTGGCAAAG